TAGTCTGAGATACAGCATGAAAACTTCATTCTAAATAAGGGACAAAGAAAAAGCGTAGTGAGGTGGGCAAAAGACTAATAGGGAGTCACTCTCCAGTACTGGGAGGCATCAAATGAACCTGGCAGGCAGCATGTTGAAGCGAATACTGTTTGAAATGCTACAGACAGGTCTAGCAATGCCATTACTCCCAGTGCCCCACATCTGCAAGGGCAGGGAAGCTGTCCTTTCCCCGGCATAAAATCAGCCAAACACTAATGAATGAGAAGAGGCAAACAGCAGCAGAGCTCAGATCCATCCAGCCCAACATCTTGAGCCAACAGCCCAAACCATACGCAGAGTGAAATCCCCAGTTGTGGCAAGTGTGTTTCTCACACCACCCTTCTTCCAAGCCCCCCCAGGCTGCAGGACAGCCACTCTCGCAGGCACAGCTGGTAGCTTTGGATGTAACAGGTCTCTACTATATCCTGGCTTTGCTGTCTTTACGGGCTGAGCTGTCATTCAGTCTGAGAGGCACCGGTTGGGAGGCTGCCATCTAGTCTGATCAGAAAAACAGATTCTTTGAAGACTTTGTCTCCTACTAGTCTGTAGGCACCCCTCCCTCCCTATGACTCTCCAAGGTCAAGTCCATTTCTGTATTCACATTATGTTTCCTTATACATCTTGCATGCATTTTCTCTCACCCTTTCTCAATAAATGCAAACTTGTCCTCTTATTGTATATGCTGTTCCAATGTAGTGATAAAACTATACTGTGCATTTACCAGCAAACCATCAAGCCATATTTGTTTCAGTATCTCTTTTGCAGTAAATGCCTCCAGGTGCTCAATGACTTTTGTTTTGATCCAAGTATTCATGCAAAACTTTTCTGTGCTTATTCTCATGTGTTTCTCTGTAACATACACTGTTCATTTCTCCTCTGAAAAACACAAGAGAACCACTTTGTAAGCAGAGAATCTTTTATAACATTCAACACACAGCCTGTATTCCTCAGCTTCAATTTCTTGTAACTCATTTTTCCTCAGTCAATTTGGCTGCTGCTGTCAGCTCCCCACTGAACAAGAAGCTTTATAAAAAAATGAATTGCATTCTGTACATTCTAGCTACCTATTTTATGAAATTATGAAAAAGCAAGGCAGGGATACAGATTTTTAGCTTTCCTAAATTCCTTTATTTAATAAACATTCTTGCAATGAAGGCCTTCAGGATAATGCACCTCAGGGAGAGGTGTAATAGAGTAACACAACAGACTTCTAAGTCACATATGGCAGAGGTCAGCAGCAAGGGAAAATTAGTGTCATATGATGCTTGGTTTATGTTCTGTGACAATCGAGTTGCCTGTTTTGTGGTAGGTTTTTATCAACAAAAACAAATTTAGGCCTTGTTGGCAGCTTTGTCAGTGAAGGTTCTGCCTACTCACATTAACGAAGAAAGGCAGGAAGGCTGAGTAAAAGATCTTTAATTAATACCAAAACACAGAGTGAAATGTAGGTCACCTTTAATAACCATGTTAGAGTAACAGCAGTGTGTTTCATTTTTGTAGAACAGTTTGACAGTCAAGGTTTCTTTTCTGATACAATTTGGCTTACAAAGAAATACTGAGTTAAGGGGCAATACAAGAACTAGAAAGCTGTAACTGAATGAATGCGGATAATAACCAAGCAAAGGAACTTGGAAATGCCCCAGGTGGAACTGAGGAAGGCACAGCGTTTTAATACTATCATATAAATATTCTGAATGGACTACAGTCTACAGAGGAAAAATTTGTTTTAGTGAAATGAGTATTTACAATGCTAGATAGAAATGACTGAATGAAAAATACACCATCTCATGTAATATCCCTCAAGATTCTATGTAATAGCAACCCAGCCATGTAGTTTGCTGGTACCCCATATTGCATAGGAGGAATCTCATCTCTAGTAAGAGTTAGATCTCTCTGAGATGATGAGGATCGAATCATAGGGTTACAGAATCTAGAAAGAAGTGTTCGGGCAGCATGACTACATAGCCAATTTTTATACAAAGGGTATGACTAAATGCCAACCATGGGGGATAAGTCCCAAGGGAAAAAAAACAACAGTACTGCTGTGTGAGAGCAAGAGATGTGGGTTGCAGCATGTGGAGACAATTTACTTGGCCCCATTGATATAACATTACAGCAAAAGAGTATTATTCTGCTTATCATATCAAATCAGAAGTCAGCCATTATTCCATGAGTAGCTGGAACCAGCTCTCTGGATGGATTTTATATTGAATAAGCCCAGAGCAGCCACGGACAACCTGAATTTTTGAGCAGTATGACAGACTTCTGCATAAACCAGAATGGATATCTTGGTCAAAAGAATTTATGTTGGGATTTTTCTGGGAAAACACTGTGGCAGTTTCTTCTACCTTTCCAGAAACATTTTTCTATGTGACTATATCCTTTACTCTATGTGAGAATATGTAATACTTTGCCCTTGGATATAAGGTTAATTGCTCTATTTTTACTAGTACTTTTACAAAATGAAAACACCATTTTGGCAGTAGGAAAAAACATATGTAAGTGATGTCACTTGCCAAGACTTATTCTAATAGAATCATAGAATCATCGAACAGATTGGGTTGGAAGGGACGTTTAAAGGTCATCTAGTCCAAGCCCCCTGCACTGAGCAGGGACACCTTCAACCAGATCAAGTTGCTCAGAGTCCCCTCCAACCCAGAATGTTTCCAGGGATGGGGCATCTACCACCTCTCTGGGAAACCTGTGCCAGTGTTTCACCACCCTCATCGTAAACAGATAGAACTAATTAAATTTCTTAATATATATATTCCATAAAAATGAAATCTTTACAGGATTGATTCCCACAGAAAGTGAGCAATGAATGTTTTCATGAGGTTTACACTCTGAAGTTATGCAGAACTGCTCCCACCTGAAATGCCTGCAAAATGCAAAGAATATGTGCAGGACTGGAGCGATAGAAGAGGCTTATCTATAGACAAAGACTCAAATAAGTACTGCCTAAAATGCAAGAATTCTGACAGATCCAAATCATTAAACAGTGTGCCAAAAGCTTAATGTGGTGTTCTACGGATCTAGAAGTTTTATAACCTCCAGGTTATGAAAGTTGCTTAAACTGTTATATGCATCTTAATTAGCTATACCATCATCTAACCTAAAGGCTCTCCAAATCTTCTTTCACTTTCTGCTCTCCTAAGGAGACCTTCTAAGTTGTTTTTACTACAAGTTACAGGGACTAGGTTTGTGAGCTGGAGCAACCAAAGCAGAGACAGGGCTTGGATGCTCGATGCTATTATAACCGCAACAAAGGTGAACATTTTCACTTGCTTTCTCACACTGAAGTGCACTGCTGTCAGGAGAATGATGGAGCACAACAATTTCAGTTTTCCTGCAGATACTGCTCTCTGTGTGACTCTGGAATGGAGCCACAAAGATCATCTGATTTCTCCGAGCATTTTCAACACTACAAAATAAAATTTTATAATTCTCTAGCCCAACCCTAATTTGTGAGCAAGTCTGGACCAATTTCATTCTCTGTCTCTTATGACTGAACCATTCCAGTTACTCTGAAAATCTGTACTCCATCTGACAGAATTGGAAACAGGACTAAACACTGAATATCCTTGGTATGCCAAACACAATCTATATTTTCAGGATAATTTTAACCGATTTTCATGCACAGGAAAACAAGTGTTACATGCACATTTTGTGTGCCACAATATACTGGAAATGAACACAACCAATTCATTCTGAACTTTGTCAGGAGGCATGCAAGCAGGTAATGGGCATTCAGAACAGCTTGCGTAAGAACTTCTATTTTCTGTAAACATTTTTACATGCTCTAGATACATTCTCAACAATGTTAAGATGTTAATTCTTTGCATTTACTGAGCTAATTTTTTAATTTCTAATACATCTTTTCTGTGGAGATGCACAATCAGGCGTAAGCTACCTCTAAACTGTTGTGCTGAGATAGAAATCCAAACAAATTTGAGATGAATCTTAAATTATAAAAGCAACTGAAGAAGTGACTTAGAGCAGTGGTGGTGTAGAGCAAGATCATCAGCAAACAATATAGCACATCATCTTCATTGGCCACAACTGTCACATTGCTGGCATATTACAATGGGCCAGGCTACATATGAGCAATTCAACTTATGCTTTATCCTAGTGAATTTTACTATGTAGCAGTATTTCTACAGCAACGAGAAGCTGAATGAGTCCAGTGACTACACAAATATTTGAATTCATACTATGTAGACCTCAAAAGCTGTCTGGGTGTCAGCAACCTCTGTACAACAAGCACCTTGATCTGCATTCCCTATGGACTAACCAAAAGCATCTTGGTTTAATGTAACAGTATTTCAGGACCACAGTAGTATGAAGTCATGGACACAAAACCAGATGATTTAAATTCCTAGAGGTAGTGAAGACAAACAAGTCTGTAAAACCAGCATCCAATTTCAAAACACAAAAAAAATCACAAAAGTGTTAAAGAATTGGGAATAACAAAATGTGGGAGACAAGAAATAGAAGGTAAAATCAGCAGGGACAACGTGTTCTGATGTCATACCTCACTTCATGACAAACATATAGTGCTAAGATAACAAGAAATCCCTTAATCTCTTAGGGAATTCACCAACTAAAAATAAAACAGTTCAATTTAAAATAATTAAAAAAAAAAAAAAAAAGAACTGTGTATTTTCTTTTCCTGACTATAGAACTGTAATCTCAGATTTGTGAGACGTAAACACAATATGAACATAATACACCAAGAACTTCATCTTGTTTTCGGGTAGGGCAACTTCAAACAGTATCTTAATTAGAGAATAGTTTGAGCCCTTCGATCAAAAGAATGAAAGCAAAGAGAACAACTACATATATACCTGATAACTGCTCAGAACAGTTTTCAAAACATATGCCTTTCTTCCACACAGGATGCTATGAAATGGACTGAAAATGGAGAGGCATGGAAAAGAATGGTGCATTACACTGGCACTTACATTTCCCAGATGTCCTCTGGTAGGTTAGCTGGAATTTCTGTTAAACTCCTTCCTCGACAATCCACTACATTGTTGCTGCAGGTGCAGGCAGATGGGCAAGTGATGGAACTGGCACTGCACGAAGGAGGTTCAGACTGGGAACCTGAGACATAATGAAAACATTAAACATTAGTTTTGAAAAATGATTGCCTGAGATTTTAACAACAAGATACATCAGCCTCCCAGTTTTCCAGATCCTTTTCCTATATTAATAATAATTTATTTGGGTTCAGTGAATATAATGAGCTACAAATCAACTGCAGAGAAAATGTGTAAAAGATCACTGCATTCTTCCTCAGTCTCCACTCTCAACCTTCTGTCATGAACACTTTTTTGGTCCCCTCTATGATTATCCCTATCAATTTATTCAAAGATTTAAAAAATAAGCCTTAAGATCGAGTAGTATTTTGAAAAATTATCTTTGCCTAAAAGTTTCCATTATATAAGCACTGAGAGAAGACTGTCATCAATGATGACTTATGTTTTTGAAATGAGGTAACCTGTTATGCCATAAAGACTGGAAATATAAAGCGATTTTTTTTGAGATTAGACAATGCAGTTAATGGAAACACAAAAAGAGTTTAGAAAAACATGAGCTCAAACTTTCAAATCCTTGCTTAATTTACTAATTCTGCTGAAAGATAAGAAGCTACTTAGCAAAGGTTTAGGATGAGGACGTTGCTCTATATACATTCCCGTCAAACCATTAGATTCAGGTTTAATTAAGTGTCATTAAGTTTTTTTGAAACTGTAGTAATTATGTCAATTTTACTCAAATGGTTATGATTCTTACATCTAAAACTTTGATATATACATACACTTAGTCATAGATAAAATGGTTTTGCTACACTAATTGAGGTATTCAAGATGTAGCAGTTACTGACTTATTTATGGTGAGTCATTTTTCCGAAGTACATGTAGCATGAGAAACATCAAATATCTTTTTGACCAGACACAGAGAGCTGAATGTGAAGGTTTTTGTTGTTAAGAAATGACAAAATCATAATGGAAACAAGAAAAACTGGTATTTTACTACATTACAGTAGATTATAATCACAAAACATATTTGGTCTTGTGTTTGAAAAAATTCAAACCTCATAATTATCAAATCACAAATATATGTGAAATCATGGAAAACTATACACAAAGCTGTACATTCTTGGGGTTTGTCTTGGAGAAGACCCATGATTGATACTTTCATAAATTACAACTGCAGGTGACGGAAAGTCAAAAAATATTTGTTTGCATTGAATCCAGTATCATTATGACGATTAAATTTTTGTACCAGTGCAACATTCTTTTAAATTTTCTCTCTTGAATTATGCCTACATACCCTCTGGTTTAGCCCTTTACTATGCACAACAATGTCAACTTGTATAGGAAGCCCACACGTGTTCCTATTTTCAAAGACTTGTAAACAGCAATGAAAAGTCAACATCAGAAAGACAATCAGAGGCACCTCTAAATATCGTTATTTTGAAAGGCAGATACAGTTTGAAAAGATGTAAGCTGAAAACTTCTACAGGCTGACTTTATTCTTGCAGAGGGAGCCCTCCTGGAAAGCAGAAGACAATTACTGCAAAATCATGTACTTCATTAGAAATTAGAATTCTAATGTGAATTCGTTTCTGTTTGTCTGAATTTTCTTTAGTTCAAGCAAGCGGTCATTCCCTTTAAATATATTGTAGCCAGGGATGACAGAACTGCTTTATAATAAAGTACACTGTTGAGTTTCAGGATAAGACCACCATTTCAACCGTGTATGAAATGTTGCCAAATTAGAGTATTGGGTTTGAATATATACATATCTATTTTTTTTTTAGGTCATCACCTGACTTTCTTTTGGGACAGCAGGAGAAAATTATGGGTTTCACAGCAATTTATGTGTTTTAGATATAGCTGTCATTGATGTTAATCAGAGCTGTCAGTGACTGTATTTTGGCAGACCAGACCTCAGAACAACAATTCAGTCATCCAGAAATTAGATTTTCAGAGGTAGTGACTAACTTTGAAAAAATTAATCTCTCAGGATATTTGTGACATGGGTAGGAGTCAAATTTATTCTTTATGAGAGAGGGCATCTGTGTTCATCATGAGATGATCCTAATGATCCTTTCTCTTTGCTAAAACATCTTGTCTCATTCATAGTCCACTTTCCAACTTCCGTGACAGTTGTAGACAAGGACTTTACCAGCAACAGTCTTTTACCTCAATGCAGAGCTGGCTTTGGTACGAGAGTAGTTTCACCCTACAGAATCAACTGGGCAAAAATCTACTGTAAAAAAATAATTCAGTAATGTAATTTAAATCTAAATCCTAACACATATGGCCCATAGAATCAAGTTCATATTTATCAGGCAACCTGAACTGTGACTTGTGGCAGTTTCAAAATCTTATTAGGCATTGTCTTAACATAGTCAACATATGTGACCACGTGTGTAATACAGTATTTAAGTTGTAGCTATTTGAACAAAACAAACCAAAATCTTCACTAGTTAAACATGCACGTGTCTAACAGGGAGGACAAACAGCTCTCTTGCGTCTGTGTTCTGGCTATGCAATGATGGGCAAATATACCATCACTGAGATTTAATAGAATTCCTTCAAAATTAATGGAGCTCTGCCATGTATCACCAACAGCACTGCCAGCTGTGCCTTTCATGGAGTCTAAAGTTTCTGTAAGATTTTAACTGTTACTACTTCCAGAAGTAGGTTTATATTGCCTCAAAATACACACAGGCCTCTGTTTGCATAAGAATAAGAGGCTTTTTCTTACAACCTGATCACATATATTTTACATTTTCTCTTTGCCTGCCTACCTTATGGTGCAATGCCCAAAACAAAGTGAAGAATGAGCGAAGTGCAAAGAAGCTAATGCAGGCTTATAGGGATAGGGAGAAATTATCAAAATGGGAATAAAAATGTCAGAGCAATCTTTGATCTCTGGAGGCAAAAAGAAAGTTGGCAGCAAGGTCAAATCTTCCACACACACCCTTTATCATCACACATCTGGTGTGCTTTCTGAAGAGACTTTGTAGCAGGGGGGAAATGCATTTTGCACAGTTATAATACTACAACGCATCACTGTGGCTTTGAGAAGCAGTAATACACTCCCTTTTCTTTAGGGCACAACATCAAAAAAACTGATGTATTGCCAGCTGGAGTTTTAAGAGTCTGCTCCTGATGTACTGCATTTAAATCAACAGTAGAAGATTCAGTGAAACTCAGTTCATCACCTCCACATTTTGTGTGACGCAGTAATGCGGAGTGCTCTACACTAAAGGAATGGTTTGAAAGGAGGTTATTATATAAAGCACTCTGAAAAGGCAGAAACACCAGTCTTCCTTGCACAAAAAGCAGGCAGCAAGAATAACAAGGTGATAATATCATACTAGGGTTAAATATCATGGAACTTTCCAGCAACTTTTTGAATGAAAGGGCCAAAAGGTAAATCAAAACAATATGTGTACTGCTCACTAAGCCTTTCGGATCTTCTCCAAACACCTGATATACAGTTGACTGAAACCAACAGAAGTCCTTTGATTTACTCTGAATTTAGACCCAGAACCATTTACATGTGGTTTTCCACTACAAAAGAGGAACTTCTACGTGAACAGAGTTTTGATTTATGGCTAATAAAACAAATAACCAATTAGTTAACCAGGGAGGTACATCATGTCAAAATATAGAGAGAAGACAATATAATGACTTTATTCTTAGCACAGATGCAACCAAAATGGGATGAAAAAAACCCCCAGCTTACGCTGAAAGAAAGTACCATAAAGTAAAAACTAAAAGAGTCTGTCTTTGTGAGAACTCTTTATTTTCCACATATAATGAGTGATCAGTTTTCTCAGTTCTCTTAGAATAGGATCGAAAAATTAGTATTTTTATAAACTTAATTTCTCATTTTAAGCTTGAATTCTGAGTGCCCCAAAATATCTGCTACTCCTGCCACTTTTGATTGACATTTTGTGCCTAGAGTAAAGATACTTCTGATTCCATGAAGAACATAGCCCTTTATATTTGGTGAATTGCTTTTCTCCTCATGCAAAAAAAGTAGATCTAGACTGTACATTTCTGAAACTTTAAGGAATTAAAAAGACTTTGTGTGTAAATAGCTATCATTATTATCAAATGCTTTTGCTTATGTTCTTCTTTTGCAAAGAACAAAATACTGTGTTACACATGCACACTCAACATGCCTCTAGCACATATTCCATCAGCTCTTACACAGTTGTCTGTTAAGGTAAAGTTTTCTTGAATAATGCTATAAACAGAATTTAAAATCTGATTTGGATTAAACTGCTTCATTTAAATGAGGATCTATTGTTAGCTCCATAGCAGATCTATAGAATTAAAGCACAAAAAATCCAAGAGAGTTCAAATTAGTTTAGTGTTTGTATACTTGTTGAGAGCTGGTAAAGAAAGGACTCGTCAAGAAAACAAGTCTTAGTAGGCTAAGGAATTTAAAGTTCTTAAAATTAAAATCTGGGTATGATTTTCATAGGTATGCAGAGTATAAGCATACAAATAGATCAAGGGCCTCAAGGCAATACAGCCTCTAAAGAAGGATATTTGAAATCTAAAAATTAATTTTGCTTTTGCTGCCAACACTTCTTCAAATGAAAAGACACAGGAAAAGCAAAAATATTTCAGGATTCCTGTCTATGTCCTCACAAGTGCAGTAAACTCCTTACGGCATGGATGCAAAAGGAAATAGCCACAGACAAGCCAGCTGCATTTACATTATTTCTGTTCTGAAGTTCTTCTATCTGTCATCTTGTCATTTCAGATTTTTTCTGTTACACGGCAGCACTAGTTCACCATGTTAAACATGTTTTTCACTAAGAGATAAAAATAATCAACTCAATTATACATCTTGCTATAAAAAAAAATCAACTCTAACAAAATGTGGAAGCTAGGATAGGAACATGATTAACAAAAATTACTATGACTTTTGTGCCTGATGTAATGGAATGACAGCTTCAATGATTATGATAGTTAATATCTGGCATGCCATTAGCCTGCATCGCTTTATTATACAGGCTCAAGACTATGGGTTAGGGGGAGAGAGGAGACAGGGGAGAGACTTAGGACCCA